TGAAATGTGATACACTGAGGACTACACTTTCAGCACTTGAGATTTGGGGAGCATTCTAGATTCAACCACAACAGATGAGCTCTTGAAAAATGTATTTAATAAAATTTTCACATTCCTAATAGTACCAAACTTCTGTTTTAACTAAGTGAGTTAATGATCTTCTCCAAAAATTCCCTTCAAAATTGCAAAACAATTTCAAAGTGAGTATCTCAAGCCGTTTGCCAGCTCACACCTCTCACCAAATCTCCAAATTTAATAGGATATATATCATAGGTCAATAGAGCACTTGGTTAGCATGGGGAAGGCCCTGAGTTCCATCTTTAATACTGCAGAGACACAGAAAGAGAGGAAGAGAGAAATTATCATTGTGCTTAATAGTTTGGATCAAAAGTAGGGGCTTGGAAAACAGATGATAAAAAAAAAAAAGTGGTGACAAAAGCATTTGGGGATAAGTTGTTGAATAGGAGTGAGTCCTGCCTGAATGGCCTAGAAGGACTTTAATAACGAGGAAGAGAGGGTGACCTGCTTTGTGAATACGAGTCCAACTCTGGCTCCAGTCACCCTGACACTACCCTATAAGACTATGAAGAAAGTGCTAAGGTGGCCAAGTTAGAAGTCATGCATGGCTTCAGCAGCACAGACTCCAGCCAGCAAGGCCCACTGAGTACCCAGTCACTAAAGGCAGATACCAACACTGGATCCACGGTTGATCAGCCAACTACCTGATGGCAGGTTGATTGCCATGATTACGTTGTACTTATTCAATCATGGAAGAAGCAGCATTGTTTTTACTGTAATACATATTTTGAATATAGCGTGCCTTCTCTGCATGTGATGATATACTATCACCTGGGAACATACAGAATGTCTTGTTGATGGTCAAGGAATTCTGCACAGCATTGCTTCTGATCAAGAATTATAGATGATCCGATTCTCCACTTCTGCTGCTGCAGTTACTGGAAGCGGTACACCCTTCTACCTCACTGGCAGCTTTTTACATCAAGGGGTGCCTACCAGCCTTAGTGCTGGTCTCAATATCGGGATCAGATTTTTTGGCAGAGGTGAGCAGGATCTAATTGTGGCAGAATACCCCAGCCATACTCAGTGACTTATTTTCAGGTTCTTGTCTCACAAATTTGAAGAATGAAATCCACAGTGAAGAGTGAATGTAAAGAGTAGGATTTATTCAAGTGCAATGAAGAGAAACAGTAGTTTGCCACCTACGTGTACTAGTCTAGTGGTTAATAGAGATACTGCATAGGGACATTTATCAATATCTGCATTAATCAGGTATTGGAAAAATGCCAAGGCTATTGGTTTGGCCTGTGATCTTCTGATTGGTTATGCACCCCTGTAGCCCTCGAGTCTGTAGCCTTCACTCAGGTCCACTCTGCTTCCTCTTTTCCATGCTCCAGCACAAAGGAGTTGGCTGGAGTGTTTGGAAGTTTCTAAAGGTTAATTTCATGGAGTGGCCTTTACATTTAAAGAAGCTTTTATGGTGCCCATTGCCCTAACTACCTGTTTTACTCTCCATCTGTCCTATCTATTCACTACATCACAGCAAGTAATACATGGCAGTGGTTTGATGTGCATGGAATTCACTTATCTTCCCATGTTTCTCATCAGCCTGATGCAGCTGTACTGAAAGAATGGTGCAATGGCCTTTTGAAAGGGCACTGGCTAGTTGAAAACACCTTACAGGTGTTCCAAAAACTCTACATGCTCAGATTCATATCTAATACATGACATGGTTTTCCCCATAACTGGGGCTCACAAACCCAGGAATTGAGAGGGGCAAATGAAGGTGACGCCACTCTCTAGAACCTTAGTGATTCACAAGCAAATAAATGTTTTGCTGCCCCCTCCTGCAACTTTACATTCTGCTGGCCTAGTGGTCTTTATCTGAAAGGGAGAAATGTCTCCATAGGAGACACAGCAATGATCAATTATTCCATTAATAGGATATTATGACTCCAAACTGGTCACTTTTGTGTGTGTGTGTGTGTGTCATGCTGCGATTCAAATCCAAGGCTTTATGCATGCAAAGCAAGCCCTCTACCAACGGAGCCATATCCCCAGCCCATTTTTTAAAACATATTTTTATTGTCATAGTTATATATAATGGAATTTGTCACATACTCACACACACACAATATAACCATATAAACTGGACAATACCATTTCCCAGTACTTCCTCTTTCCCCCATCCCCCCCCACCTTGGTCCCTTTTCTGTGACCTCTGTTCAGTTTTCATTAGATTCCCCACCCCTAATGTATACCTTTCTTTATTCTTTCTAGCTTCCACATATGAGAGAAAACATCACCCTTGACTTTCTGACTTCAGCTTACTTTACTTAATATAATGCACTCAAGTTCCATCCCCATTTCCTGAAAATGACATAATTTCATTCCTCTTCATTACTTTAAAATTTTTATTGTGCAATTGGAACTCCGTTGTGTATTGGAAATGTATTCCACATTTTCTTTATCCATTCATTGATGGACACCTAGGCTGGTTCCATAGTTTGGCTATTGTGAATCATCCTACTTCAAACATGGCTATGCATGTTTCACTGTAGTCGAATGACTTTAGCTTTTCGGGATAAATACCAAAGAGTGGTATAGCTGGGTCATATGGTGGTTTACATGTCTAGTCTTTTAAGGAACTTCCAGGCTGATTTCCATAGTATCATACTCATTTACAATCCAACAGTGTAAAAATTTCCCTTTTCATCACATCCTCTCCAACATTTATTATTGTTTGTATTCTTCGTGGCTGCCATTCTAATTGGAGTTAGATGAAATCTCAGTGTATTTTAATTTGCATTTCTCTAGTAGCTAATGACCCTGCACCTCTTTGGTGAAGTGTAAACCCTATGTTTTCTTCCAGCAGTTTCATCGTTTCTGTTAAAATTCTTAGGTCTTTGGTCCACTTTGTGTTGACTTTTGTGCAGATTGAGAGATAATCATCTAGTCCCATTCTTCTATGTATGAATGACCAGTTTCCCCAGAATCATTTGTTGAAAAAGTCTGTCCTTTTTCCAATGTATGTTTGTGGCACCTTTGTCAAAGAGTTGGATGACTGAATTGTGCAGTTTTGAATCTGTGTCTTCTATTCTGTACTATTCTATTTRTGAATTTTAATGTCAATACAATACACAATATCATTTGGTTGCTATGGCTCTATGGTTTCTATTACTATGAAACCACCCCCAATGGTTTGCTTGCAGATGGTAGATATTTGGATTTGTCACCCTCCATAGTTGCATGAGTCAATTCCTTATAATAAATAAATAATTCAACTTCCATACACATGCACAGAGGCTCACATGCCATTGGTTCTGTTTCTCTGGGGAATTCGGATGAATACGTAAGCTTTTTCAACAAATGATTCTGGGGAAACTGGTCATTCATACATAGAAGAATGGGACTAGATGATTATCTCTCAATCTGCACAAAAGTCAACACAAAGTGGACCAAAGACCTAAAAATGCTCGTTCCACTGCCTTTTTCTTCCCAAGTTAAAGCACATCCTCTGGAACTATTAATCATTGTGTATTAAGTGTGTGTGTTTCCAAAAGCCTCACACACTGATACACCATCTTCTGGGCCAGGTTCAAATTTCTACCAGGTGAAGGTCATGGTCACTTCCTTGAAAGGTACTATGTCTGGCAAGTCAGAGGTAGGAAGTTGGCTTTGGGCTATTGGACATTAGAATCTGTCACTGTCACTTAGAAAGTTGCAGAGAGCCAGGACTTCTGAGGGCCAAGTCAGGTGGACAGCACTTCAGGATGATTGTGCCTGAGAAAAAAGCCTCTGGTGGGGAATGTCATTTGAGTCCTCTTCAACCCAAGATCCTTCAGATGATCTGTCCTAGCCTGTTCTGCACTCATGTGGAACCCTCAATAAGTCAGCAGGTTGTGCCGAGGTGTGCACTCAGCCCCAGGCTCTGACAGGTATCAGTTCTTTATTATGCCTACAGGATGTGGGGTTGTTCTATCCAAGCTAGACTGTGAATGCACTGTCAAGCTTAATACAGAGATCATGTGACTGTGCATGTCATGAAATGAAACAGTATGTATGCACTTTTACAAATGTCAGTCCACTTGTTCTGCTGTCGGATCTTCCAATTCCAATTAATTTCACCTACTATTTCTGTACCAGTTATGGTGCATACCTGGCTCCCATAGGGTTGACTGACACTATGGAATTACAAATACAAGAGCACGTTACCCTTGTAGAACCTAAAAAAGGCTTCCCTTCAACAGTGTTGGGCACTATGTGAGAGTCTATGGGAACTGAAGAAATTCATGATACCCCTCTTCATAGTGATCTGTTTTCACCAAAAATAGAGACATGAAGGCTACACATAAAGACTATATACAGTTCTGTAGGTTTTTCTAGGTCCTGGGCAGCAAAGCAAATTAGAGTAAGAAATAATAATTACTTTTACTCATAATATCTGTGTTAAGATATTAAAAATGGGGGCTCTGTAAAACTACTGATCATTCACACAGAGCTCAATTTTGTCTCCTCTCATCAGAAACTGTGAATAGAACCACAAAGACTACAGGTAGATTAAATAATAAAGCATTTATTAATGCATAAGCTAGAACAGTATGAAGAAAATTTCATGTTGGTGAATGGGAGACCGATAAAACTTTTCCATGAAGGTAAGGTAAGCCATTCCTAGAAGACTCTAGCAGACTGCAGATCAGCTCCTCCTKGTTAAAAACTAGGTCAGATATATGTTTTAATCAGTCAGAAAGCAGAAAGAATTATCCTTGAAGGCCCAGGCTGTTCAAGAATTTCTCCTGGGCATAAGCAAACATGTTCCTTCTTTTACAAGCTCAGATGACCAATGAACACTGTTAGGTGGTAGAAGATGCCTTCTGGCAGTGATTTAACTCTGACAAAGGCTCCTGTGAGCTTTACCTGTCCCTGAATGAGTGGGACTTTCACCCCAGTGTGGGTGTTAGGAAGTATGATGTTCAACTTCAGGCAGGCAGTTCCCTCATAAGGCCTAATACTGACCAAATAGCACAATTCCTGCAGGTGTAGGCCTTTCTCAAGTGTGGACTTCCAGGAGCTAAGTGATGTTAAACCTTGGGCTGAAGGCTTCCTCACATTTGTTGCTTTTGTGAGGCCTCTCCATGGTGTGAGATTTTCGATGAAGAATGAGGCCAGAGTGCTGTGTAAAAGATTTCCCACATTTGCCGCACTCATATGGTCTTTCTCCAGTGTGAACCACCTGGTGCTGAATGAGGCCAGACTTCTGGATAAAGGATTTTCCACACTGACCACATTCATAGGGCCTCAAGCCAGTGTGAATTTTCTGGTGTTCAACAAGGGTGTAGCTCTGTCTAAAGAACTTCCCACATTCACTACACTCAAAAGGTCTTTCTCCAGTGTGAGTCCTCTGGTGCCGAATGAGTTTGGATTTGAACATAAAGGCTTTCCCACATTCCCCACACTCATAAGGCTTTTCTGCAGTGTGCACCTTGTGGTGTTTATTGAGGGTGGCTCTTTGGCTAAAAGATTTTCCACACTGGTCACACTCAAAAGGCCTAGCCCCACTGTGGATTAACTGATGTTGAATGAGGCCATACTTTAGGCTAAATGACTTACCACACTGTCCACACTCATAAGGCCTTGCTCCGGTGTGAATTATCTGGTGTTCAAGTAGGCTGTGGCTCTGTGTAAAGAATTTCCCACATTCGCTACATTCATAAGGCTTTTCTCCCGTGTGAGTTCTCTGGTGTCGAACAAGAGTGGATTTGGACCCAAATGCTTTCCCACACTCATCACACTCATAAGGCCTTTCTCCAGTGTGAATTCTGCAGTGTTCAATGAGGTTGGAGCTTTGGCTAAAAGATTTCCCACATTCACCACACTCATAAGGCCTTTCTCCAGTGTGCACTCTGTAATGTTTAATGAGGGTGGCTCTTTGACTAAATGATTTCCCACACTGACCACACTCATAAGGCCTCTCTCCAGTGTGGATTCTGCGGTGGTCATTCAAGTGGGAGGTCTGGCTGAAAGATTTCCCACATTCACTGCATTCATAAGGCCTTTCTCCATTATGGACTCTCTGGAGCTGAATAAGTGAGTACTTGCAGCAGTAGGCTTTCCCACATTTGGTAGATTCATAAAGCCTTTTTCCAGTGTAGACTGGTGGATGGTGAACAAGAGCATGTTTGTGGCTGGAAGTTTTTCTGCATTCACCCCACTTGTAATGATTTATTCCAATATGAAGATCTTCCCCACACTCAGTAACTGTATTTGGCCTCTCACAGTTGGGAACAGACTGGGGCTGGATAAAGTCCAATGTGGCCAAGAAGCTTTTTCCAACATCCCCACAAGTTACAGGTTTCCCTTGGATTCTGCAGCTCTTCATAAATGAGGCTTTCCCCAAGTCTCTCTTCAAGGACATCTCTGAGCTGTGACAATTCTGCTCCTGGTGAAGGTTTGCACATATCCCAGTCAAGTATGGTTCCTGCCCAGGTTGATCAGCCAGGTGCAAAAGGTCTTTCAGAACTGGAACACACATTTCACAGGGATAAGTCTCCTGGGTAGAAACACCTGCCTTTGTAGTCTTGACTTGTGACAGTCCTACAGAAATCTGCTCAGAAGGTATCTCTTCATCCTCCATTCCATGCCAACAAACTGTAAGCAAAYAAATTCTAATGAAATGCATGTTGAAACCATAGTGGGAGTATATTACTCATGTTTTAAAGTACTTCCTGTATAATATGACTTTTGTATGTGTGGTATTAAGGATCAAATACAGGATCTCATAAATGCTAGTGCTCTACCACTGAGTGATGCCCCCAGCCTGATTTTCTGATACCTCAAAAAAAAAAAAAACTTCTAAGACTAGGAGTAGTGGCACATGCCTGCAACCCTGATTATTTGGGAGGCTAAGGCAAAAGGATCACAAGTTCAAGGCTAGCCTAARAAACTTAGAAATACCCTGTCTTAAAATAATAAAAAGGGGTGTGAATGTAGCTCAACAATACAGTGCACTGAGTTCAATCACCAGAACAAAACAAAGCAAAATGCTTTGCTGAAAGCCTTGCACAATGGCATTACCCTGTAATCCCAGTTACTTGGGAAGCTGAGGCAAGAGTGAATGAGATTCCATTTAAAAACAAACTAAATTTTGCTGGCTGGGGAAGAGAGCAAGGCAATTCTTACCAAAGGTGTGAGATGGAATCACACTATTCAAATGCAAAATAACCAATCCAGAGTCCATACTGCAGACTATATTTTCTATATGGCCTTGATACTTCAGTATTCCATAGTCCTCTGCCCCAATCATTCCAAGACAGGTAGTAGGCAAGTATGACCAAGATGTCCCTTAATCCCAGGGTCCACTGCAATGATTTATGTACCCATCCTGAACTATTTACCATGCCCTACCTATTGGGCAGGAAATCCAATAAAGGCTATAGTTTAGTATTTTCCCTTTTGCTTCGGCCTCACCACTGGGCACCTTCTCACCTAGGCCCATATATCATGGTACTATTATCTTGCCACTTTAAATAATAAGTTATTCTATCGATGACATTAAACTCTCACTCAGTCAACTCAATCAGTTAAAATCCTGCAGTACACTTTAAAACAGAAAGAGGAGGTCCTCCTATCACATACACATCAAAGAATGAGTCCACACTGTATTGTTCTGAGGATGAGAAAGCTGGAAGCATTTTGAAGCAGTRGCTGCCTGGCAGTATTGAGCCTCTAAGGATCAAAAAGGGTGAGCCATCACCAGACAAAGGACACAAGGCTGAGTTGCACAACATGGTGGTGAGGCAGGGCCTCAAATCTACTCCTCATCACTGACTTTGACAAGCCTTTATCATCTGGTGACATGTGCATGCTGTCCCAAAGGCTAATAGCATCCAGAACCAGGAAAGTACAATTGGAAAAAGGAATATTTATTGACGTTCACAAACTTCACCACAAATGGTCAGTGTTGGGAAATGTCACCAAGGAGGCAGTGCAGAGGATATGTGGCACATGGAGTACAGAAAGGAGGGAGCAGCAAAAGGCCAGAGACCACAAAGTAAGGAGTCAGCAAAAAATCAACAAAGACAAGGAAAAGGCCAGGGGTGGGGCCACAGGCCTGTGGTCCMAGCAGCTCAGGAGGCTGAGGCAGGRGGACTGCAAGTTCAAAGCCAGCCCCAGARACTAAGCAAGGTCCTAAGCAACTTGACACTGTCTCCAAATAAATCATAAAAAAAGGACTAGGTATGTGGCTCAGTGATTAAGTACCCCTGAGTTCAATTCCAGGGGAAGGAAAGGAAGGTAGACAGAAACAAAGGCTGACCAGTGGCATCAGCTCCGAAACTCTAAAGAAAGAAGAGAAGGAAGGAAGGAAGTGAGGGGAGGAAGGGAAAGAAGGAAAGGAAAGAAAAGTAGGTAAGTAGGTAGACAGAAACAAAGGCTGACCAGTGGCATCAGCTCCGAAACTCTAAAGAAAGAAGAGAAGGAAGGAAGGAAGTGAGGGGAGGAAGGGAAAGAAGGAAAGGAAAGAAAAGTAGGTAAGTAGGTAGACAGAAACAAAGGCTGACCAGTGGCATCAGCTCCGAAACTCTAAAGAAAGAAGAGAAGGAAGGAAGGAAGTGAGGGGAGGAAGGGAAAGAAGGAAAGGAAAGAAAAGTAGGTAAGTAGGTAGACAGAAACAAAGGCTGACCAGTGGCATCAGCTCCGAAACTCTGGCAGACACCAGGCAGGCTGCTGGTTAGGGTTAGAAAACAGGCTGCTGGTTMTGAGGAGAAAGTCTGGATGTCACACACTCCCTCAGCGGCCACTCATCAAGGCCCAGAGTCCTCTGAGACGTGTGGCATGTTCATCCTATGGCACCACCAGGGCTCTCACTTGCTCTCCTAAAGGAAAGACAGGCCAGGTAATCCTGCAGCACTGCCCAGACCACACAGCACACTACAGACCACAGGAAATGTCATCCAGGAGGAGGTGCAGACCTTGGGGAATAGTGACCTAAAGAGGGAGTAGAAAGTCGGGTGAGATCTGTCAGGCTGACTCTGTAGCTGACACCAGATACCTGATGCCCAGACCCTCCCCTGCACACTTCAGGGCAGCAAGAGCTAAGGCTTCTCGTGGCAGTGCACCAAGCTCATCCATGCACATGTGGAGAGGATTTCCACAGGCTCTGGAAAAGGCAGAACTGCCGCTAGAGGGAAAATGAATAAATAGAGCCCAGCTCAAAACAGTGGGGTGCGGGCGAGAGTCTTACCTAGTGAGGTTACAAGTGCAAAGTTCTCCAACATCACACCGAGGTACAGCACCCGCTGATCCTCATCAAGGAGCCCCCACTCTTCCTGGGAGAAGTAAATGGCCACATCCTCAAAGGTCACACAGTCCTGCCAAGATGGGGAAAATTTCATCAGCTTCTCTCCTAGGAACCCAAGTCCACTCCTCCTCCCTACCAGTCAGCCTTCCCTTGCTCGTCTTCCTTTCTGCTTTCTAACTCAGAGGAGACATCGATAGTATTGAGTTTCACCATCTCCTCAAGGTCTGTTGTCACCGTGTCCTCCTTCAGCACCACCAAGTACCACGCTCTCCTCTTGGTCCCATGGTCACTATCCTCCTTCAGCATCCCCAGGCAGGTGGGCTGGGAGAACCAGCTAAATGGCCTGACATGTAGGGCTGTAGAAAATCAGATGTGACTGTGTTACTATTACTGTCCTTGATGGAGTTTGCCTGCAAACGGGATGTTTGCTGTCCCTGGGAGAGTCTGCTCGCAAACGAGAGGCTTCTTCAAGGTTTAGATAGGTAACAACAGACATGCTTGAAAACGAGGTRTCTGCTGACCTTGGGAGAACTTGCCTGCAAATGGGATGTTCTGCCAAGTGGGCTAGGAGGGCGCTGAGAAAAATTTTTTATCTGTTCTAAACAAAGAGCAGAGCTCAGCATACTCCAGGCTGAGTAGATTAGCCATGAGAAGCGAGTCACTTCTGATTAGAAAGTAAAACTTCTGTGTGATATGTTT